ACGTTAACTTAGTTAGTTAGTATTATATTATTATTAATTAATAATTAATTATAGTATANACTATATATATATATATATATATATATATATATATATATATATATATATATATACTGAAGCATAAATGGGAATTCTCTGACCCATAAAGTTGACGAGGCTCATATGTTGTTCATCAAATATGTTTAGATTTTTTCTTTAAGAATTCCTTCATTCTGTGCTATGGTTGAAGCTTCCAAGACTTCTTCACTTATGTGTCTTCCAAGTTATGCTAACATGTTACAATACGTGACATTCAAATATTTGAGTGTTGCACATTATAAATAGTGACTTGTACAATTAACTCCTCAATTGTTTCAGGTTGAACCATAGCTTCTTATTTTTAGATTATTCTATAATAAATATATTCTTGACTAGAAGGTTGGAAAGATTAATCTGGTGAATAGAAATCAATTCAGTCTTGTCATCAAGCATCATCTATAGTAGATTTATAAGTAATACCGATGAAAATTATCACATGCTAGTAACATCTCTACCTAGAAACGAAAGGCCCTATCATCATAAAAAATGTTTCTTTTGTTTTGTTCGGTGGATGCAGCCCCAGGTTACCTTCATAGAAAATTGCCTCCTGCCTGAGGCCGATATTCTTTAGTGCTTTCACCTTTTCTTGAAGAAGCATTTATTGAATAAGTGAATTATAAGGTGAGGGATTCATGGACCTGGCTTGATGATTATATTATAGACATTTGTGACACTAAATCCCAGGTTTTATTCCCCATGCTGACCTGCCTTTTTGTGTATGTTTGTAGGTTCACATGTGTGTGCAGTTTGAAGCCATTAAGGTAGCATTAGCATATGAATCGATATTTCTCTTCCAAGTTACATAATACACATTGCAGAGCTCCTATATCAAAAACTGTAAACTACAAGTCTGTTTACATATAGATATATGTCCATCAGTGTTTCAAAAAGGCAGATGTAAAATGAATTGCCAAGTTAACAGAACTCAGGTATCACCAAAGTCCCAAAGAATTCGAACTCTGCCACATACGAAAACTTCTAAAAACTTGCAAATTCTGGAACTTCTCAAACCTAGAGGAAAAACCAGAAATAAAGAGTAAATTTTTAAGTTTTCAGCAATTTTTTAGTCCATTATGAATCCCCGCCTTCCCCATATGTTCACTGTGGCTATCTTGCACAGAGTGAAAGGTTGCACATGAATTAATAGATAGATTTCTTTACCCATAGTTTTATATCTGTATATGCCAAAGACATATATTTCGCACTGAATAGAACATGGAGCACCTACGTAGTCCTCAAACACAAGAATTATGTCAGGCAAACTTTGCAGCTCTGAAACTCGTTGAGCACCATGGAGCGAATGGTTTCGAGGGTCAAACAGATTTAGATGGTAATTTGTGGTTCCGACAGCTTTTTGCATCTTAGTTTGGGCATTTCAAGAGGGTTTGCTTGGGATTATCATGAGTCACATATTCATGTCCACTTTTCTCTCGGGGTAATGCCATTTTACTGATGATGGCATTATTCTTAGTAGGGATGACTCATACAAACATATTGATTAGCACATCTTCATCAATTCTTTGACTGGAGGTTACATGTCCATCCAAAGGTTGCCTTCTTTTCTTATTGAATTACAGCAATATTTAATAGTGCAAATCTTACTGATGAGAGGAGTATCGAGCTCAGCAATTGATGGCATACCTCTTTTTAATCTGATTCTATCACTTAACGGCACTTGGTTAGCAATCAGAACTCTCTTGAGATTTTGCATCAAGGATGGTTTATGACATTCAATAGCAATCTAGCTCACGGCTGCTCCTCAATCAATTTATCAAGTGGTTGTTCATTGAAACATTAACTCCAAAAACCTTTTCTTCCCTACTCTCTTGGTTAGTGACCTTAAATTGGTGCAGATTGGTAGACAATACTTCTGAGATTTGCTGATTTCTCGAAAAAGTAAAAAGAAAATAATAATAATAATAAGAAGAAGAAGAAAAAAAGAAAAGAGTAGGGGAGTACCATGCAAAAGCTCATGGTAATCCTAATATTATTTTGCCTTGTATTCTACTGTTGCCATCTGGGACTTCATTTGAAGATTCTGATGACAGTACTTTGTGATGATAGGAACCATGTGCAGATTACATAAAACCCCCACTTTTTACCGAGACGAACGGCTACAATGTTTGCTGGAAATTTCTTCATGGCAACTTGTTCTTGATCATATTATTTTGTCTATTTTGCTTCCCAACTATCTCACCGTGTCCCATACCATCGCTTGGAATATTTTTCTTCTTAATAATTCTTCTTAACAAACTCCCACTGTTTCTGTTGATGCCTTGGGAGTTTGAGGCAGTGTGTTAAAAATGTGTACTACATCCGTTTTTTTACTCTCTATTACTATTTTTGGGACATTTCTGTCCATTTGTATGAATTTACATTTTATATGTTTTGGTTTATCATGAAAGCTATCTAATTCCCTCGAGGGACGTCATTATGTGGTGTTGCAAACAATCAAGGTGGTTGCCTTAATAATTTTCTGTGGACATGTATCACAGATCTCCAACTTGATACATGACAATGCCTATCCATATAAGTGAACTATAAGAAATGGAAGTAGTTACCTATCATAAACATGAAGACATTTGACTTAACTAGAGGATCTCCTTTCCAAAGTAGAGAAAATATTCAGCTTAAGTGTATTATTTAACTGTATTTCTCTCTGTCCATCATAATTACATGAGGGTTGCAGGTTAATCATGGAAAATCTCCCAAATACACAGCTTCCTTCCTTTTTAGCTCATCCGTACCTCTCATCTCAATGAGAAATATTACACTACATGAACACAACTACACCCATGTTACTGGATTTAATAAATAAGAGTGATGAAATGCACTATGCTAAAATCTAAAATCAGTTCTAGAATCTATTGAACTAACCATGAGGATCCTATCCTAAGGCCAAAAAGAGATTTTATCAGGGCCTGAAAAATGGAGAAGAATAACTACTAATCAAATGATCCTCACATAGACCTTCACAGATAACAAGTGTCTTCTGCATGTTCATTTAAAAGTGATCCCACGTTCAAAACATTGTTAGTTGCAACATCTATTTCTATAGTTGTCATAATGCCATTAATGATTGGCTCATCGTAATATACACAATGCCTTTGATTGTAACAGATGGAAACATAAATAAATAAACAAAAGAAAAACTTATACCTCTCCAGTCACTAATTAGGAAAACATTTAAATAGTGTACCATAAATCTGGTAAGGTCAAGATGAGGGTTTACAAAGCCATAGCAAAGGCAAGATTATAAGTTAAAGATAGTAAAACAGAGGAATGATTTGAAATAACTCGATGATGAGAAGACATAATTTCAGTTCAGAGGTCAAGAACCATGAGCAAGTCATCTGTGTTCTTGCATTTGCAACATGTTTGTGTAAAAATTCAAGAAGCATAAGTATATGTTTCTGTAGAGGAAGCTTTCATGGACAACCAGGTTGGGTTTGAGAAGATCTCTCAATTGAAGAAAATGTTTATGGCATGAATAAAGCACCTATGCATTGTTTCAGTTTAGTATTAGTTATACATGATTACAGAAGTAGCACTTGTAAACAGGCAGGTGCTCTTCCTATTCTCTTCAATTAGAATTGATAATATGAAAAGTAATTTGTGCGTCAGAGGACACAGGTCCACATATGCATCCCCAGATGCATCAAACATCCATCTCAAAGGCGTTTGATAATGGTGCCCCCCCCCCCCCCATTCCAAAAACACCTAAAAGGAGGCTGTTAAAAACACATTAAAATATTATTTATTATTATTAAAAATTATATTCATGTTCACCATGATGGAGATTCTCAACTCCTAAACTTTTAGATCCGAAAATCCATCTCGGTATGGATTTTGGAGGGAGGACTCATGTAAATAGATGAGTTGAGGGACTCATGAAAACCTCGTCCTTGAATATTTCAATCAATATAATAAAAAAAATTATAAATAATGTTAGTGATAATGATAACATACAACTAAGTACTGTGTTTACAGGAAGAACCACTCCATCGAATCCAATGTATGACTTGAGAAAACCTAGATCAGCAGATAATGCTGTCCAGTTATTTAGGTGTTCTACTTCACATGCATAGCATCTTAAATATACTGTGAAACTGCCATTTACTCTCTTTTTGACAAAATATAATGTTGGACAGTGTTTCTCTGCCATAATAACATTGTAAAGAAATGTGTGAGTGATAGAACAGTTATATCTCACAATTAAAAAATAATGATCCAAAACACAAGGATAGCAGTTAAACATACTAAGTCAAATACAAAAGAATGTTTATTTACATGCACAGTTGATGAGTGAAAGTAACAACCACTTCTTGATAAGAAAATCAACAAATTAAATCTTACCATTTTTGTGCTTGTCCCTTCCATTCTCCTCTCCACAAGCGGTTCACTTTTGCTTTTACTGAAGGTGGAAAATCATAAGTAAACCAACGAGGAACCTGTGAATACGCCAACTTAGACATCAATGGTGAAGAAATACTTTGATTTTCAAAATTTCCAAATTCAAACAAAAATTAGATTGATTCTTGAGATAGATACATGCATGTTCCAAGCTCACCTCTGCAATTATTTCGGCTGATACAATTCCAGTCTCTTCATGTAACTCCCGCAAAGCTGCACACCTTGGTTCTTCATCATCATTGATACCTCCCTGTTTGTAGTGTTATAACTCATTATAGTTAGACACATATTCTAGTTCACCTAAGCAACTCTGATAATCCCAAATAGATTCTCATAGCCATTCACATATAACTCAATGTTTTCAAACTTGCCTCAGCCTCGGACTCGGCCCTGGCCTGAGGCAAAATAACTCAGCCGACTTGGATTGGACTCGGCCAAGTAGAGTACAGGGCCCAAAAGTAAAGATTAAAAATAAATAAAGTAAAGATAAAGTTTAAAAATAAAATAAAAATTGTAAAAGTGAAATAAAACCAAAGGCAGCATAAAAATTCCAAAAAATCTATATATATATATATATATATCAAGACAGAGAGAGAGAGAGAGACCAATGCTCGAGCACTATATGTATATAGGAAAAACCTAGAAAACTCCTACAGGTGAAATGCTACAGTGTTTCGCCACCGCCACGAACTTGCTATGTCCGTGGCAGTTTATTGAACAAACCCGCAATGGATGGCGCATTGCAGTTCCGAGTGATTTTTTTACCATCACGGACCTAGTATGTTCTTGGCAGTACCGCCACAGACATGTTAGATCCGTGACAGTCGAAAAACGCACGATGCCTGAGGTTTTTGGTCAGTGATGCGCCTGTGGGTGAAAACACTATTCATTTTCTCCCATAGGTGTTGCGTAGATGCTTCCATATATATATATATGGAAAGTGCTGAGATTAGCCCACTAGCTCATATGAACATATGAGCCCAATGGTCCAAATTGAATCTGGGCCAATCTGACGGTCACGACCTCATTTCGTGTTTAAATTTGACTTTTTTTTCTACAAAGCCAAATAACTTGAAATTTTACGTGTTCATTCTTCTCATCAAAACGCACCTAATAAAAATATTTTAAAAATAATTCCTAAAAAATAAATTGATCAAAATACCCCCGAAATGTTTCAGGGGTATTTTGGTCAATTTATTTTTTTGGAAATTATTTTTTTGATATTTTTATTAGATTGTCCTATTTTTTAATAATACATGCCTAAAATTTCAAAATATTTTGATTTGTAGAAAAAAATTTAAAATTCAAATACAAAATGAGGTAGTGATCGTCAGATCGGTCCAGATTCAATCTAGGTCATTGGGTTCATATAAATATGTGTGTTCATATGAACCCAATGACTCAGATTGAATCTAGGCCGATGCTGAGATTATCCCACTGGCTTATATGAAAATATGTATTCATATGAGCCCAACGGACCAGATTGATTTTTGACTGATCTGACGGTCATGACCTCATTTCGTATTTGAATTTTAAATTTTTTTTTTACAAATCTAAATATTCTGAAATTTTAAGCGTGTATTCTTCAAAAATAAGATAATCTAATAAAAATATCAAAAAAATAATTTGCAAGAAATAAATTAATTAAAATACCCCTGAAATATTTCAGAAATATTTTAGTCAATTTATTTTATGAGAATTATTTTTAAAATATTTTTATTAGGTACGCCTCGATGATAAGATTGGATGCCTAAAATTTCAAGTTATTTGGATTTGTAGAAAAAAAAACTAAAATTCAAATATGAAATGAGGTCGTGGCTGTTAGGTCGGCCCAGATTCAATTTGGGCCGGGCTCATATATTCATATAAGCTAGTGGGCTACTCTCAGCATTTTCTATATATATATATAAAAGAAAAAAAAACGGCCATATGACGATAAAAACTCACAAATCATTGTAAAAATTAACCAAATAAGAAATGTAATTTTTATACATTGATTCCACATTTTTACCTATTTGTTTTTGCACTTGTTTAAATTATTTTTAAGCATCCTGAGTTGCACCCGAGTACTCAGCTCGGCAAACAATTTGATATAAATTATCAGAATGGAACGCAGGAGGCTAGAAAATATATAGCTTAATCTTATAACTGAAGAAAAACGCTAATGGGGTGAATGATTTTGTTTTTGGGGATATGAGAAACTGTATGACAAATGCTAATTAAATTAGGAGACCACCTGTGGCATCTGCCATGCACCTGGAACATTTAACCTTGAAGCCACAAAAATCTGCATGATTGAAAAAAAAGAAATGTATCACATTTCTAAGCCTTATATCAGAGTTGTCTTACACAGCAATAGGCATGTAAAAGAAGGCGATGCAAACAACAACCAAAAAAGTATTACTCTGCCTTTCTCCTGAACACTCGAGACAAATTTTAACTCTTTCATGCCAGATCACAAGGTTAATGGAGAACTTATTGGTCTTTGTTCAACATCTGAAACACCCTTAATTAGTCCCCATCATCATAATTCAAGCGAAATTTGGCCATACCGGTAATAAGATAACGGAGGAATTTGTGACTATTCTCTGCGATAAGTTCTTCTCATTAAAACTATGAGGAACAGAGTATTTCAGCAAGTGCGAAAGGGAGCTCAAAACTTCTTAATTCAAGAGTACTGCAAAATTTCTCTCTGACTGTAATTTCGGAGCGAAACCATCAGTCTTCCAATCTGAACAATCCCCATATCTCCTTGAATTCCAAAAATTCTCATTTTCTAAAAACTGAATTCACCCCGACTTTAATTTTCTACCCCTGCAACCTTGAGTCCGAGATCTTAAGAAATTACTTTTCCAGAAACAAACTTCAATTCCACTATTTTTTAGAAAGAAACTACTGCAACTTATGACCCGATTCTCTATTACCCCAAACTAAAGGCTCACACCCACAAAAAAAATTAACAGAGAAAACTCAATAACAGAAGCAAAATCAGAAGTGAGCAAAGAATGAAAATTCCAAAAATCTATACATTGGGTACCAAAGAGTTCCAACGATTTGTAGAGAGAGAGTAGAGGAAGTGAAAATTGGAGTACCTGGTTAGCAGAATTGAGAAGGCAAACGCCAACGTTGGGCCTGTAACCTGGGGGAACTTCCTCCATTGTTTGGTTGGGTGGAAAGCTTCTTTTCCGCCAAATTTAGAGCCTTTGTTTTTGTCCTTAGGACGCGAATCCATATGCACGCACGTAGCCGACCCATCATTATTTTTTTTAATATAATTTATTCACATTGGACAAAATTATAAAAAGTTGGTCAAAGCTCACTTAACATTTTACCTATGAAAGTGTGACTAATTACAAAACTGCCACTTTCCAATGTTTGCTTTCCAATGTTTGAATAAAGAAAGCTTGATTCTTACAAATTCGATAATTATTCGATTCCCAAAATTTTGAGTTCTTTTTTTTTTTTCTTTTTTAGTTCTCTCTCTCCTCTTCTTTTTTCTAGTTGCATCCAACACTCTCTCTCCTACCTCTCTTTAGAACAATATTTAAAAAATCGATGACCCGCTTTAGAATCGAACGATTTAGATTGGAAATCGCCATGACCATCCAAGATTCAGTAAAAAATCGGGATTCGGTTGATTCAAAATAGTAGACTCTTTGATTTTTTTTGTATAACCGCTATTCTGACGATTCTTCACCGAATCAAGCAAAAAACAAAAAGATGAAAAGTTTTTTTTTGAATTATTTTAATAAAAATTATCAATTCCACTGATTCTTTTGATCGGATCCACTGATTCTTTCAATCCGATACGGGTATGGATGTGACTGATTCAAGTCATCGATATGCCTTTTTAAACTTGCTTTTAAAGAAAATGTGCTTATGAGATTATGGAGTAGGAGCATTAAACTTGCTTTTAAAGAAAATGTGCTTATGAGATTATGGAGTAGGAGCATTAGAGAATTTGGGGGCAGTAATGTAATACCCACTAAAAAGTAGTGGTATTTGTATAAGTTGGATCAAGTCAAATAAGCTGCTTATTATTTTCATACTCCAAACTTTGACGACGTGGAAGAGAGAGAATAATGAGAAACACAGAAGTCAAACGATACGCGCCCCCTGGATTGTTAAATCAGGGGAGAGAATCAGTGTGAGGCGCTTTCATAATAATATGATAATACATCACTAATCCAATAAAATTGATAATAAATCACTAGATAACGGGTCATGTCGGAGAGGCCCATGTGGTAGTATTACGTTGGCCCCACACAAATGTGGTGTCCCATATGTGAGTTTAGCGGTGCCGTGCGTGCATCGGCAAGCAGGGTTTACAACTGAAAAATTATATACTTTAAAAATTTTAAAAATAAGAGATAATTCGACAGATTTGACAAGTCAACCAAAATTTAGTCAACTTGTAAAGACACGAGGGCACTTGATGATGCACTTCACATGCTTACAACGGTGCATGGAATGTTTTTTTCGAAATACGTGTGCGAGTCAGGTTAGAGACTCGATCTACTTTCTACGATTCATGACTAGTGCTCACTCATGTACGCAAAGAGGTGCAAGCATGGTGTGTGGAAAATCCAACAGATACTAGCCATTGAAGACTTGATGCTAATGTAAGTGATAGCAGTTATCGAGATTAATGATGATGCATATAATTGTTCACATCATCAATGTTTAAAATCCAACAGTTTGAAACTATTCACTTGAACAGTTAATTCCAATGATTTAAAAATTGGCGAGTCGAATCGGACTCGCCCAATTCGACTCGAAAATTGGCACAGGCCGTGCCGGTTCCAACACAAAATCGGGAACCGCTCGGTTCTAAAACAGAACCGCCGGTTTCAACCCTGTTTTAGAGCAGAACTGTCGGTTTCCAACTAGTTCTAGCCAGTTTTTTTTGAGAGAGAGCAAAAACAACATATTTCTTCGAAAAAGAGAGAGAGATAGAGAGAGAGAGATTATAACGTTTGGGGGGTTTAGCCCGAGCAAGTATCATGACCAAGACGACTCAAACCTCGGGCAGTCTTCACAGACGTGGGATCCCCTGCCCAGACCTTCTCTCGGGCAGCCATGGCGGACGCCTCCAACCCCATTAATGAATCTAAGCCGTTCATTTCTGAAAAAGGCAGCATCTCAAGCAGCTCCGACAGAGAGACCGGGCAAGCGTAGCTGCTCAGATAAGATCAAGTAGTGAGCAAGGACTTAGGGTTTGCTTCTCCTTTTAAATAATAGCCGATGGCTTGGATTAATTAACTTTCCTCTTGATACTGTATCCAGGCCGTTCTCTTGAAAATAACAAAAGAGGTGAGGAAGCGGTTCATATTGTTGGAGAAAGACTGAGGAATCTCCACCATCCATTGTTTGAGAAGGAGGCATGATGGTTATCACTAATGTTATTTGTTTTGACATCTCAAGTTCGAATCCCCTCTTGGGCTATATAATAGTTATCCCTTTTTTATTTAAATTTTGTTCCCCCTTAGGCATATAATAAATTAAAGTGTTTTTTCCAAAATTTGTACGCATTTTATTAATTTTTACATTGATAACCAAATCTTTTATTTTATTTATTAATTTTTATATTATAAATCATGTAATGTACTATTTTTTTTACAGTTGTCAATAATACATTTTAAATTAGACAATATTATAAAATATTTTTAATTTGTTATTATTTATCTAATAAAATAATTATAAAATGTAAACTAATAATTATAATTTCAGTATATAATATTATAATTAGTTAAGTTGTAATAATTTTGAATTATAGTTAGTTAGATTGTAATAATTTGGGTATTTTTTAGCGGATTAGGGTTTTTTGCCAAAACGAGATTTTAATGGCCATTCTTTCATTGATTTAGTCTACTCTTTATTATAGTCCATGTATAATTATATATTTTATCCATGATAATGCTATGATTTTTTTTTATGTGATGCAAATTTAATACTTAAATTTATACAGGGAAAGAGCATCTTAATATTCACAAATTGATGGAAAAAATGAAAGTTAATAATGTAGTAGCCTCATTTCTCATTGGATTCCTAAAAAACAACATTTATAATGAATTTTAATAATTTTTTCGAATTTTTTTGAAGCTTTAATCCGATCGACTCAGTCGATTCTCAATCCAGATCGTCGATTCGCCGATTCAGATCGATTTTTGAGGTGCCCGATTCGGGTCACCGATCCATTTTTTAAACCATTGGTTAATTCACAGCTACATAAAGCTTTATAATTCTCTGGAGGCCAGCCTCTACACACGATTTTGCATAGCTTTGGCACTCATCACTCTCTCTCTATTTGTTTTTTTTACTCTCTCTTTAAATTCAAACTCTCTTTAATAATGGTGCTCTACAATAAGTTTATAGAACCTTGAAGCACAATAAATGATTTTTTTTTTTTTCTTGTATCTTGAGGATAAATTGTCTTTCTTATGCACACCGTTTACAGCATTAAAGGTCAGCAAATATAGTCTTGAGAAAGCACTCCTGCGGGCCCAAAAACATGAAGGAAATTTATTCTCTTTTTTCCCCTTTTTCACCCTCGTATTTCTGATATCAAGTTCCACTTTTTTAGAATGTATAATTTATTTTAATTGTGTTCTTCTTATATAACAAATTAAGCTTAAACTTGAGGAGTGACTACTTCTCACTGTCACAAACCTCTAAAAAAATCTAAAATATTGGAAATAAAATTACAAAATACGCTTAAATTTTATTGAGTATTTATGTAAATACCCTGGAATTTTGTAGGGTATTTGTATTGTTGTTTATTATTACTTTTTCATCTTATTTTGTTATAAATGTGTGATGGTGAAAAGTATGAACTCCAAATTTGAGCTTATTATGATATTTAGAAAATTAAAATTTAAATACATTAAACACTCACAAAATGCATGTTTTTGAAAAAATAAAATGGGATTTTTGTAAATTTTTCAAAAAAAATAATAAAATAAAACTGATGAGAACCAGGTGAGTTTGGCGATTTTTTGCCTAGACTGATACTCCTTTGACTCCAATTGTTATTCGATCTGCTTTTTAGGGCACTAATCTTAAGTGTTTAATGCTTTGTTTTAAAAAGATAGACAAAGTTTCCACACTACAAATTTGTTGTTTTATATATATATAATCTAAACTTCACAACCCTTCAAATTACAAAGGTTAAAGATAGAGAGAGTTGTGAAGGGTGGATTTACTAATTTTAATATCTATTTTTTAAAAAAAGTTACTTTTGTGATATCTTCATCATTAAGTAAGGAAAATTTTCTAAATATTATTATAGGACAATGGGTACTTTTGTCATCTCTATAAAATGTAAAGTTGAAATTTTTATTAAAAAACAAGGGCATTCTACAAATAAAATTCCAAGACACTAACTTTCAAAATGCCATTATACTTTTGTAAATATTTCAAATTTGCTCTTGCTTAATAGTTAAGTCCCCTATTAAAATAATTTTTTTTAAAAAAAATAATCATCTTCTTGATATATACACTTATCACAACCCCTTCTAACTTTAACATTTATATTTTGAGGGGTTGTTAACTCTAGACAAACCCATATATATATATATATATATATAACCATTTTGGAATTTAAAATTTTCTAATTAGGTATGAAAATAGATTTTAAGATAATACTAGGTATTTTTTACAACAAAATTATATGTTATAATAAAATTTTAACGTGCACCTTAATTGGATTGTTTAAGGTTGCAACCATATATATATATGGAAGATGCTACGATACGCCGATTCATGTACCGCTACAGTAAAGGCCGAACGACCCAGTTCGAATCTGGGCCGATCTGACGATCACGGATGTCTGGTAGTATTTTATTTTTCACTTATTTTTTATAAATTGGAGTGATCTGAAATTTAGAGCGTGTATTCATCAAAAATAGGCGAATCTACGAAAAATATCAAAAAAATATTTTACATTAAATAAATTGATCAAAATACCCCTGAAAAGTTTCAAGGATATTTTGACCAATTTGTTTTTGCGAATTATTATTTTCTTATTTTTATTAAGTGCGTCTCACTAAGATCTACACATGCTCTAAATTCGATCATTCCGATTTGCAGAAAAAAATTAAAATT